CAGAGAGACAGACAGACAGACAGACAGACAGACAGACAGACAGACAGACAGACAGACAGACAGACAGACAGACAGACAGACAGACAGACAGAGACAGAGGCAGAGACAGAAAGAGAAAAAGCTTTCTCCGGACCTCGTTATCTAGACCAGCAATTTCCTTTCTATAAGTTGATCGTGACATGACCCTCAACTCTCAAGTTCCTGCAGCCAAAAACTAGCAAGCTGTGACATCCACCGGTTATAAGCAACAAACTGGTATAATAATCCTGGTGACGCCCACCTTTGCACCACTTTTCAGAAGAAACCAGACACTCTTCAGACCTCAAAATTCAAAAGAAGGTAGCATTCAACATTCCCAAGAACGTGGCGGAGCCGGATTTTCATGATTTTGAACTTAAGAATGTAAAACGTACAGAATTTGATCGCTATATATCGTTATAAAACTCCAGAATTTAGCCATTTGTTTTCTATTAAACTTTTTAAAAAGAGTGGGTGTCCGCTGTTCAGTATAAGTTAAAAGCTACACAGATGAAAACAAAAGGGAATTCTCCAAGCGTTACTGACTAGTTTGTGTCGGGGCGTCAAGAGTTTGGGTCATCTTGTGGTGAATAGCATTTCTTCGGTTTTTCTTTCTTTTTTTTCCAACAGGATTGAGGGGGAATAGTCCTATTACATGTGTTTTTCTCCTCCTGAAATCCTCGTATTTTGACATACGACAGTGTTGAATGACAGCAACAATGTATTTCTAAATAAAATAAATAAAATAACACCTATCACTACCCGGGTATTAAATAACCTAATAGTGTTGATAGGGGCGTTAAACCCATACCATTTCACCATACCATTTCTACCCGGGTGACCCCCCGATGCCCCCCCCCCCCAACCCTTCCCCCAATGTCCACCGAAATTACCAAATCTCTCACTACTGGGAGATATCGGTCAGGTCGGTAAACATTGAGTTACACTAGCCATAGATGCTCAGAATGATAGTGATAGTACAAGAGCGTAGTGCCGGTATAGGACTAGACCTTTCCCCGTGTGGACTGCTGACGTCACAGCACAGTGTGTACCCGGGGGAAAAAGCTGTGTGACCGCTTGTTGTCTTTCATACTGAGTATCAGCATATTATTTATAGCGTTCGGACATTTCTTGTTAGGGGGTTGGGAGATATGAGAAAGAATTTGGGGGGGGAAGAGAGGGGTGGAGGCGGAGAGAGGGAAGAGGGGAGAGAGAGATGAGAGAGAAAGGAAGAGGGAAGAGGAGGAGGGAGAGAAGAAGAGAAGAGAAAAATGGGAGAAGGAGAGGGGGGAGAGGAAAGAGGAGAGAGAGAGAGGGGGAGAGTAAAAGTGAAGAGGAGAGGGTGGAGAGAGAAGAAGAGGAGAGAAAAAAGAGAGAGGAAGGAGGGGGAGAGAGAGAGAGAGAGAAGAAAGGAGGTAGAAAGAGAGAAAGAGTGTGTTTCAGAAAACTCTACCAGTTTTCACGTCAGAGACATAGAAGTTCAATACACTTTTTCATCTATTCCCCAACACACGCACGAGTAAAACTGGTCGCTTCAAAGCATAAGGGGGCTATCCCCCCAAAAATGCTGTTTTGAGAAAATCGAAGGTAAAGTTTTTGGAACCCTGTTCAGTTTCTTTAAAAGAAAAGGATAATTTTCTCTATAACCAAACAATTATACACACTACTGAAACCAAACTTCTCCCATGGGTAGGACAATGCCCACTTTTGGTGTAGGTCAAGATTTCTGGAAACCCCCGAAATCTGGATTAGCCCGCTTGTTCTTATTAAAAGTGACCAATTTTACTCTGAAAAGTCCCTAAACAAGAAATATTCACCACATGTTAAAACATTTCTCGTCCCTGCAAAGTTGATTTTTTTTTTTTATTGGCTTCACGATACAGGGCAGCCTTAGTTGCATGATCCCTCCCATGCAGTGTCAATGAGTCATGATAAGTTAAGGTATTCAAAGAGCTGTTATAACACTCTGTGTAACTATGTGGTAACACGCGCTGCTCCGCCGTGATTTGAGCTTCTAACTTGTTACATAAGTTCACGCTGTTGTGCTTTTCGGTCGGAGATGTGTGTGTGTGTGTGTGTGTGTGTGTGTGTGTGTGTGTGTGTGTGTGTGT